TTTTTTTTTTCCCTTCCCCTTGGAGGCATTTAGTGATCTCTTGCTAATGTTCCATTCAGAGTATAATTACTGCATGTAAAGTAATTACAGCTCAGCTACATATAACTGCAGGCTGAAGCTCAAATCCCTTTGTGGGCTTTAATCAAGCTCTGGCCACATCTCCTTTCCTGTGAATCCTTTCATTTTAGGTGCAGAAGGGTTAAAGGAACCCGATTTGCTGCTTTGCATTCCATTTAAGGTGCAATGTTTCCTCTTTAGTGTTTTCTTCAGCCCAGAAAACTTTGAGCAGATGAAGCCACCATGTTGTCTTCAGGATTCTCAGGGGGGGGTGTGGAACTAGCTGATTTTTCTTCCCTTTCAATATCCCTTCCTGCCTGAATGAAGGAGGAATAGTGGAAATTAAAGTATTTCAACCTTACACTAATATTTGTATGGTATTGTCAATTCTTCACAGTAGCTGGCCCCATTCTGATGTTCTCATCCTTTCTTAACTTCATGTGGCTGCAGTTAAGTTCTTTCTTTCATTTATGTGGCAGTTTTGAGTCCTTAAAATTAGCTTTGTGGTACGAAACAACCAAATTTGTCCTCAGCTTTATTTCTTTTCTCCCCCTCAATGCAGAAAAACTTCACTGGCCTAAAACTGAGCTTTCTAAGAAATCCATCCTGAGTCCGCTAGAACACAAGCTGAACGTTCACAATGAAAACAGCCTCCAGCACCCACCTCCTGGCATCCTCAAGGACATTTTCACCACAGGAACCAGCAGCTACAACGTCCTTCTGCAGAGCAAAGAGGAGAAGAAACACCACCCTCAGAAGCAGTCGTCTGCTCCCCACAAGAAGCCCCGGAAAGCCAGCAGGGGCGAGCCCCGCCGGCTCCCGGCCGCAGTGGGTGGTGCTGCACCACCAGCCAGCCCTCCCTCCTCATCCCCAGCCCAGCACCCACCACCACCAAGCTCTCAGGCAGCCTTCCAGGCACGGGGGGCAGCCCGGGGCCGACTCCACACCCCAAAAGTAGGAATAAGAAGCATTGTAATCTAGCAAAGCCAAAGCCCTCCCAGTCCACCAAAAGCCATGGGAAGGAAGGTGATGTGGCTGGCCAAAAACTCTGTTTGCTGACTGCAATCAAGCCTTCCAACGTGGAGAAGGAGAAGATGAAGTTCTTCAAGTCAGATTTCACCTACAATCCTCAGTTTGAATATGCAAACCCTGCTCTGCCAAACGTGCTGGCCAAGCACAGCCATGCCTCTGACAGGTTTCTGAAGCAGGTAGAGTTACTTTCTTCCTCCTTTTCCACTGATTGTTTTCCCTGCACCTATTAAGGTGCTGTTTGGCTTTGCAGCAAGTTATTTCTCCTTACCATCCTCCCTGTTGTTTGAAAAGTGCATCAAAGGTGAGAATAAAGTAGCAGAACTGACAGAAAATCTTCATGATTAAAAAATAAAAATCTTCCTAATATTTACAGGATTCTGTAGGATAAAGGCACAGTCTCTTATAAATGGGTTTGCATGGAATATAACAAGGCAAGAAAGCTTTTTAGGTAGTGAAGCAGAGTGTGATAGAGGAAGAAACACAATTCCTAGATAGGATTTAATAAACAGAGAGGAAAAAGCAGCATAGGAATCCTGCCAGTTGTCCCACAAAGATTGGGAAGGGACTATATGAGGTCGTGGCTATCAGATGAGCATGTTGATCTTCCTTGTTTTAATCAATTTTGAAAGGATATTTGCATATACATTGGGCTCTATCAAGCAGCAGACAAATTCCATTCCAGACAGAGGTAACATTTAAGAAGATACCCTCTTCCCTCATCTTTATAAAATAAAAAAACACCACAAAACCCAACCAGAACAGTAAAAATCTTGCTTTCCACTCTGGCCTAAGTGACAAAACCCAGTTCTTACCTATTTAATAACAGAACCAGTCCTCTTCCCACTTTTGCTATGTCAGAATGGTTTAGAAAGGTCTTATTTAAGTCTGATGAGCTTTTCTAATTAGAGGATCTCACATGTCAAGAGGTACTTGACTTGGGAAGAGATCCTGCCCTTCCAAGCATGGGGAAATACAGGCTCTATAACAACTTATAAACAGCAGGGAAGGATTTAACACTCAATGAAGTATGAGATTTCTGAAGCTCACCAAAGAGGAGGTAAATTGTTTCATAAGATTCAGCTTAAGTTACAGAAGTTCTTAGCAAGAAAAGCATTTCTTCAAAGCTCAGCTCCTAAAAATACTGAACAACCATATCTTACACTTCATATAAATGACCAAAAAAAAGCAGCTTTAACCAGCCCCAAGCCCAGCAGGTGCCATACACTCTTTTTTTTAATCTACAATTAGCTTTAGCAATTTTTATCACCACCAAAATCTGAATTTCATTACCTGTAAATGAAAAACTATCCAACTATCTGCACATCAGCTTTATGCATGCCTGTGAGGTAGCAGTCCTGCAAGGAATCTGGAAGAGAAATCACACCCTGCCCCACATATATATATATATTTTAAAGAAAACAGAATGGATTGCAAACCATTAACACAGCAACCCTACCCTGGGCAAGACACAGGCACCCACTTCACCCCCAGGCCTCTAATCAGGTCAAAGATTTTAAAACCTTGAGCACAGCCCATCACTTTTATTGATTGACTTTTCACAGGCAGAAACATTTTTGAATTATTAATACATTTGGAAATAATATTTTTAAGGTCTCCTCATACTTTGTTCTGTTTGTTTCTCTCTTTCTACTTTACCTTGCTTTCTTCATGATAAGATTCTTTCATGAGTCACACCATATGTGCCTCTGGGGAAGAGAACTTGAGAATCAAAACCAGCCCTTGCAGCTTTCCCCATGGATTGACACATGGCAGAAACTGATTCCTTTATTGCTGTCTCTCAGGGTCAGTGCAGCAACTGTGTGCTAAGGAAGTTTTCTTCCTCTCAATCCTTCTGGCTCAAGCTGTTCATCCTCCATTGTGACATTTTCTTTACACCTCAGTGGTGTGTGTTCTTTGGGCACAGTTGCTGGAGGGGGTTGTACCAAGCTAGGAGGAATTGTCCCCACTGTTTGCAAAGCAGATCCCTAAACAATTTGCTGAACCCAGATCAGCAAGTTACAACTTGCTGGCTGCAACCCCCAGGGAACACTTGTTCAACCTTTTCCTCCTAAACACAGAGCAGTTAATGAATAAACAAACGAGTTATGCCACACTGCACGTGTTTGAACACACCTTGTCAGCTGTTACTGACAAACCCACATACAACTGGCAAATTTGTCAGAAATTGGAAAAATAGGTGGAGCTGGAAGGCCAAACAACATGACCTTCCACACTGAGTCATCCTTTGTGCAGTGGCCAGGGGATGGCACAGCTCAGGCACCTTGAAGATGGCTGTGAAGAGCATTTAATTAGAAAACAGTTCTCACTATCAACAAATTCCCTCCTAAACTCAGGTTTACAGACTTGCCTTGAGACTGCTGCTTCTTTTGACACTCTTCAGTAGGGATGAGAGAGATTAATCCAAACATTGTGGATAATAATGAGCAGAAATTACTAGTCCTAAATTATTATTCTTCAAAAAGAAATCTTTGCAAGAACATCCATTTTTTAAGTAATAGTGAATCTGTGTAAAATCCTTTGGAAAACCATAAAAAAGGAACATGTTGACAACAAACTGCAAATGTCGTGTGTCTGATTTATGAGGTGGTTGTACAACATTCCCCAAATTAAAGAGATAATGAGTGTTCTCTCCCTAGGCTGATAATCCTCTGTGCCATGCTGATGTGTGTGGCTCCAAGAAGAGTTGATCAGAATCTTTTCTCAGTGATTGGGCAGCTTCCAATGAGTTAAAAAAAATTAAGAAAGATTTTTTAAAAAGAGAGAGAAAGGTGGTTCCTATTTGCTGTGTGTTTGTATTTCATAGTCCATCAACATCATGGAGAGGACTCTGCAGAAGTATGGGAGCTATGAGAAGTTTGAGCAGGCCACTGGAGGCAGTTTGCTGAGCAAGAGTCGCATCTGGAACCACGTCAGGAAGTACATGGTGAAGGAAGGCTGCCTGGGGGAGGTCAGTCACACCCTGCACCAGCAGAGAATACTCCGTACATCATATTTTTTTTTTCTCATGGCTGTGCCCAGGCTAATTTCTGAACAATTGGGATGATGTGAATTCCCTGGGAATGCTTCAGCCACCCCTGTGAGCCCGTTTCCTGCTTCATACATGCTTGTTCTTAAACCCCCCCTCTCTTGGGAGTACCCAGGGATGACACCCTTCCTTCCCTCCCTTTTTCAGCTCCTTGGAGACTAGCACATTTCCATTTATTCCTCAGTTTTGCCATCTGTTCTCTTGTGTCAAAGTATTGACACCAAAGGAAAGAGTTAAGGGAAGGCCAAGAAAAATAAGCAGCAGCCCAAGAGACTGATTTACACACAGCAACACAAAATGAATCAAAATACCCCAAAGAGGTTGGCTTGTTGAGTTGGTTTGGGTGCTGCTCTCTCCTGACTTTAACCAGCTAATATTTTAGCCCTGTGCAAAAAAACTTAGTTCCTATATTCAGGATTTTAAAAGTCCTGTTTGGCTGAGCTCCATAAAATTGCTTGGAAGTGTCAGATCCGTTGTATAAAAAGAGAATTATTCCAAATGAAGGCACCAGCTGACACAGCCCAAGACTTGGATGAGTGAGCAAGAGGAGTCTGAAGTGAGAGATCAAGAGACAAAGTTTCCCAGAAACTAGGTTTAATTAGTAAACATAAGATTATTAGAAGAAACCATTAAGCTCATCACACGTTCTGGGAGACTAATTTGACAGTGATACCAGATTTTTACCTGTGTTTCTGAGGTTATAAAACTCTCCCTTTGTGTTCATTTTTGTCTTGGTTTCTCTTCATGGAAGCAGGATCCAACACCCTCATCAAACATCCCATTATCCCTCTTAACAAAATGCTTTTTCTGCAGAAATAGGGCTAAAACATCCTGTTTAATGGGGTCTAAAACACTCTCTCCAGTGGAAGAGATGTTAATGAAGCTGAGTGGCACCCATGCTTTAAATCTAAATGCTTTGAGATTTCCCCATCTTTCTTGCATCTTAAATAGGAGCTTTATGGGACTGATTCTTTGCTGTTGAACTTAAAGCTGAATGGTGGGGTTTGAATACAGGGAAGTGTCACCTTCATGTGTTTGATCTCTGGGTTCTTTTTTCTTAACTTTGATATCATAAAAGGATCTCTCTTGTCAGAACCTTGATATAAAAAAGGCTTTCTCTTGTCAGCACCTTTCCTTGTCCTCCTGCTGTTTCTGTAGGCATGGCATGAAGAGGGAAAAGTGCTTAGTCTTCAGCAAAAAGAATTTCCCTTCTCCCTCCCAGTCACTTGTTTAAAAAGTCTTTTTAAACCCAGCTAAGAAATCACCCCAATATCCATTCATTTTGTTTAGCCACCTTCCAAGGGAGAACAGGAAAGCAGGAGCTACCTGTCTAAAACTGAACCAAACACCACCAGTGTTTTGATAAGACTGGATAATAATTCCCCTCATTTGGCACTGCAGCTGAATGGGTTTCAGGTGGTTCAGGACACTGATCCCTGCTCAGTTTTGTCTCAGCCCTCGTGCCTGAGGCTTTGTCACCACTCAGCAGAGTCCCTCTGGTGAGGGGTGGGACGGAAGAGTCGTGACGGGCAGGGGACCAAAGAGGGATGAAATAATGGCTGGGGCAAGGGAGGAAGGGGGAAGGGGAGGGAGAGGAGAGCTGTGTGCTGCCTGAGCTGTGTGCTGCCTGAGCTGTGTCCCCCCAGATCGTGGTGCAGCTGACAGAGGACCTGCTGTCCCGGGCCTCCATGACGGTGGTGAACGGCCGCCCCACGCTCACCATCAACGTCGGCACCGCGCGCGAGCACTGGCTGGAGGGGATGCTGAGGCATGAAATAGGTATGGGCATCACCCCTCCCCACAGGCAACAGGGACTCCTTGCAGCAAATCTTCATTCTTTGCTGCTCCAAACCACTGTGCGTGCACAGAAGGAGGGAATGGCCCTGTCCAAAGAGCCTTTGCTGGAGGAGGGAGCTGCTCGCCTAAGCAACAAGTGATCGGACGAGAGAAAATGGGCTCACCTTGTGCTGGCAGAGGTTCAGGTTGGATATTAGGAGAAAATTTCTTCCCTGAAAGGGTTGTCAAGCTCTGGCCCAGGCTGCCCAGGGCAGTGGTGGAGTCTCCATCCCTGGAGGGGTTTCCAGGCTCTGTAGATGTGGTGCTGAGGGATGTGGGTTAGTGGTGACCTGGCAGTGCTGGGGGAACGGTTGGGCTCGGTGATCTTAAAGGTCTCTTGCCACCAAAAATAATCTCTGTGTGCTAAACCTATTTATCCCTGCAGCATGCAGAAGGAAGATAACCCACTTAAGGATTCCTGTGCTTCCTGTAGATGAGCATTTTTTGGTGAGATCAGGAGTGAGCTTTTGAAGTGAGCCTACCAGCCAGCCCTGCTCACAGCACTGAGCTTCACATGCTAGAGGAATCTTGGAGCAGGCAAAGTGTCATCCTTTCAGATGATGCTGGCCCAGAGGCTGTGCTCCAGGGCATACCTTCTCTGCTGTCACTGCTTGGGGACATTTTGCTTAGGAGAGCAATTTAGAGCTAGCCTGGAGGAAGAAAACTGGATAAATTTAGCTAGTGCCTGGACTGCAGCTGAAGCCCTGCAGTTGGCTTGAATAACCACCTTGAACTACCCACCTTGAACTACCCTGAGGGGACGCAGCCTCTTCCAGGGGTGTTTGGTCACCCTCAAGAGGCAACATTTCTGCCCCCTCACTTTGTTTCTCCTGCCTTCTGTTCACTTCAGTGCCTAAAGCCACCCGAGACACTTTGGAAAATCCCTTTCCACAGATTTGGGAACCCAAATCCTGCTGACATTTCTAGTCCTTAGGCATTTTTGGGAGGCTCACTTGCCCTCAAGCGGGTGAACGGCTGCACCGTGGGTCTGACAAAACTCTCTGCTGTAGACAAGGCTGAAGTTTCACTTTCCCCAGTGCCCTGGTCAGCAATCTGAAACGAGCATCTCCTTCCATGTTGAGAATTTTTTCTCCCACCACTAGATGCTGCTGTTCCAAGCCCCCCTTTTCCTTTCTTTTCAGGCACTCATTATTTTCGGGGTTTTAACAACAGCAGCCAGCCTTGGTGCAACTGGAACGGGCGCAGAAAGCACGGGCTGAAGCCAATCAACCCCACAGAGGAGGGGCTGGCCAGCATCCACAGCGTGCTGTTCCGCAGGGACCCTTTGCTCTGGAGAGCTGCCCTGCTCTACTACACAGTCTACCAGGCCAGCCAGATGTCCTTCAGCCAGCTCTTCCAGGACCTGGGCAGGTTCGTGCAGGACCCCAACACCAGGTGGGATTACTGCGTGCGAGCCAAGAGGGGCTGGACTGACACGTCACAGCCAGGTGGGTTCCCTGCTTCCTCCTCGTTTTGGGGGGCTCCAGGGCTTGCAGAGGGCTCCTCTGTCACCTCACAACTTTGGCAGAAGGGAGAAGTGGGACTCTGAAACGAGGCAGCAGTTCTGCTGTTGAAAGGGAGGCTGGAAATGCACATCCCTGACTTTCAGGCTGGATCAGGGAAATTCATGCTCCCAGGTCAGCCTCCTTTCCTCTTTGTTACAGGAGATCCAGCATGGCTGTGGATGTCCACACATCTCCTGTGCCTGATTTTTCTCTGGCTGGTGCATTGAGCCTTCCAGTTAGTTTTTGAGACATAAATATCTCGTTTTCAAAACACCAAATTGTTCTGTTCATAATGGTTTCTGAGAATATGCCTTGAAGAAACCCTGTCATAGTATCTTGATTCCTTCCAGGCTGTTTCAACAAGGATCAGGTGTACCTGGATGGCATCCTCCGAATCCTGAGGCACAGGGAGTCCATTGATTTCCACCTGCTGACAGCCCTGGGAAAGGTGGGTGGGCTCTCAAAAGGCCACAGCTTTATCCTCTCAGCTCACCAGCCTCTGCAGAGCTCTGAGGCCTTGTGCTCTCATATCATGTCTCATAATATGACAGAGGGTTTTGGGTTCATATTTAAGAATTTTGGCCTTTAGTGTCAGAAACATCCATATTGGTGGGCAGGGCTATTTAAGTAACTGAACCAAGGTAGGAAGCTCTGAAAATAAAATATCCTTCCCTTCCTTCCTTGCTTCTCTTCCTCCTTCTTTCTTCTCCCTTCCTCTCTTCAAGGAGCATGCAGAATTGGCAAGCCCCTTCAGAAATGTGATGTCATTCCCCATTTAATCACAGGTTCCACAGGGCAAGGCACCCACCTCAGGGGTCTACAAGCAGTTTAATCCTAGGAGTATGATCATTTATCAGGGCTTGACTTCACAACTTGTAAAAATCCAGGGGTCTTAAAAGCTGCAGGGAATGTTCTCTGCAGTCAGACTGGAAATGGTGCCCAAGAGCAGTGCCTGCTCTCAGCATTCCAGATGGCTTGAGGTCTGCAGGGGATTCTCAAGATCAGCTGCTCCAACCCCCAGGCTGTGCCCCAGGGCACCTGACCCTGCTGTGCTTGGGATGAAAAGGTTGGAAGGAGCAGGATCTGCTCACAAGCCACCTGGCAGAGAGCTGCTGTGAGGAAATGAGCTGTGCCAGGCTCAGGGGCTTTGCCAGCACATATGCTTCCACCTGGGGGGGGGCTCAGGACATGCAGCCTGTAGACAAAGCAGCAGCCACATCATGTGGGATGGAATCAGGTTGCCCAAGGAACTGGTCTGCACTTGGAGGGCAGCTTGTGGAGCTGTCACACGGCCAAAGCCTTCCTCCTCTCCAGACCATCATCCAGAGGAAGCAGCCTCGAGTTGCACCAGGGAGGCTGAGGTTGGATGTGAGAGAATATTTCTTCACCAGAAGAGTTGTCAAGCCCTGGCCCAGGCAAGGGGTGGGGCCACCAACCCTGGAGGGGCTTCCAAGCCCTGGAGATGTGCTGAGGGACATGGATCAGTGGGGACCTGGCAGTGCTGGGTTAGACTTGGGGATCTTAAAGGTCTCTTCCAACCAAAATGATTCTATGATCATGCACAGCACCCTGAGCTACTGAGGGAGAGCAGAGAGCAGAACTGACCCTTGTCCTCCTGGCAGGTCTCCTACGAGGACGTGGAGCGCCTGAAGGGACTGGCTGTGGTGGAGAACATGAGGGTGCCACACTTCCTGCAGGACCACGCCCGCTACATGGAGCACTTGGAAAAGATCATGGAAGTCAACGAGCTGACTGATGAGGAGCTCCAGGAGCTCATAAATTAACAGCCCTGGCCCAACGGCCACTCCCTCTGTGAGGCTGTAGGACAGGACAACCCAGAGCTTGGAAAAACACTTGGGAGGCGTGGGGTGGGAGGGAAGGGTGGATGGAATGTGTGGAATTCAGAAGCCCCTTTTGGTTCCTTTTTTAAAGGGTTTGTCCATTTTTTTCCTCCAACATTTAGCTTAGTTTTTTTCCTTGGAAGTGATCTGTCCAGTCGCCTACTCTGTTTTGTATGGTGGGTAGAGTGCTTGGTGCTGTCTCTTGTCTCTCCCAGCCAGGTTTAGAGGTGGTGGAAAGGAGAAAGAGGAGAAATTTCCCCCTTGGCTCACTTGTCTTTGCCCTTTGGTCACCACTTTCATGGTCCATAGAGACAGAACTGCTGGTATCATGCTGCATCATTGTCTGTGTCCCTCTGTCCCCTTTGGTCATCATGGCAAAACCCAAAGGAGGTTTAAAGCCCACCCCGTGCACAGAAGCAGGTCTCTGTGCCAGAGGATGAGAGCTCTGCAATGCTGTATAAATTATTGTGGGTTTTGACTGGGAAAGTTAGCATTTATTAAAAAAAAAAAGTCAAGTCTTGCTGGTCTGATGACTGTGAGCAGGTAGCAAAGTTCTCCCCCTAGAAAGTCCCACTGCTCCACACCTTCAGCTGTACAGGGGGTGTTTGGAGAAGCTGAGTTGTGGGAAGGGGCTCCCTCCTTGGAGGACAGAGCATGTCACTGGGAACACCAAACGGGGCGAGCCCCTGGGCCAGGTTGCCCAGAGAGGTGGTAGAAGACCCATCCCTGCAGACATGTCTTCATGGAAGGGGCATTTCTGAATGTCTTGACTTTTCTTTTAGAGATCTCTGCCTTCCTCCACTGGCTTCTGCAGAAGCAACGTGCTCTTCCTCCTCCCCTGCCAGTCATGTCTGGTGACCTGGGAGTCTCCAAACAAGGAGGCTGTGCTGGTCCCCCTGCTGGGACACAGGGCCCTTCATCCAGCTGCCCCTTGGCCACGTCACCACCCCGTGGCCCTGGACACTGCCACAGGGCTTGTGCTCCACTGAGAGACCTGCATCAAGCTCTCCTCAAACCAGCAGGTGCCTGCAAACTTCCCTTTTTCATTGCTCTAGAAATGAGTTTCCCTGTGCAAGGCAGGGTCTGGAGGTGGTCACAGGAGTGCTCTGGGAGCAGGTGAAGCTTCAGGGATCATCCCCCTGGACTCAGCACTGGGGCGGCTGCACCTCAAACCCTGGGGTCAGTTTTGGGCCCTTCACTCCCAGAAGGACCTTGAGGGGCTAGAGGGTGTCCAAAGAAGGGCAACGAAGCTGGTGAAGGGTCTAGAGCCCAAGTGTGGTGAGGAGCAGCTGGGGGTGCTGAGCCTGGCGCAAAGGAGGCTCAGGGGAGACCTTCTGGCTCTGCACAGCTCCTGACAGGGGGAAAACAGCCTCAAGTTGCCCCAGGGGAGGTTGAGGTTGGCCCTGAGGAGCAATGTCTCCCTGGCAAGGGCTGTGCAGGGCTGTGCCAGGCTGCCCC